ATTTAAATTTAAAAACTTAAACCGGCATCTACAGCGAACCGTAGCGCCTCTGCAACTAAGCTGCCGTGTCACGGTGTCAGCGATTTTTCCATTATAAATAGACAATTTAAAAAATATTAAGACGTTTATTTAGAAAGAACATCCAAGTGATCTTAGAAAAATGTCTAAGGACAAATTCCGTTAGAACCTTCTTTAAACAGAGAAGTTAGTTCAACTTAATGACTCCCAAGTATTTAAGTCTTAAGTAAATAGCACGAGACACCCGTTTCCGGTGACACAGATAGGGGCTAAGTGCAAGAAGGCACAGTAATACGCCAACAGTATGATGAATTATCGACACCTCAAACTGGGCATAATATATTTTTAAAGATCTGTTTTTGTATATTATTTCCTGACACTGTCTATTTCATAATATTAATAACGCCAAGTGTAATATTCTATTCTTATTTTGTATATGGGTCGTAGTCTTTTTATATGAATCTGTCCTACTGTTTATTATTGTACTGTGTGCGTCGCGCAATCTGAGGAGGTATTATTCCCTCTGGAAAGCAAACAGAGACATGCTATCTAGTTCCACGAAAACAACGTTTCTCAAACCTTTCTTCCTCCTAAATGGTTACTTCCGTAAAAGTAGAGAAATACTTTAAATTTATATCATATGTTTAATACTTCAAGTATTGTTTTACCTTCTTTGATTATTAGAATAAAGAATATAAATAGGGTTTGACATGGTGAACAGAAATATAAAGTAAAATAAATAATATTATATAGTAATAAAATAAATCTATTATAAATAGATTTTATATTTTTTCCCTTGATTTACTAAAAGCCTTGGTAATTTGCGAAATATATAAATCCTTAACGTGACAATCGTAATATCGAAACTTTTGAGAAGCAGTGTCCCACGCAAATAAGTGCTGCAAGCTACGGCCGACAAGCACTTAGCAGCTGCATTGTGCCTTCTGTACTGCATACAACTGAATTCATGGCAATAACATTTTCAACCGATTCAGCAAATACTGAACACTTACCAATATATTAGAACCATTGTTGCATTGGGCAGTTAACTGATAAAAAACATTAAAGTACTAATCTTTGGCAAGGACTTGTTAGTTAAGCTTGTGGTTTGGCCAGGCAAAGTGCGATACTTGAAATGTTCACAAATTGTATGTTTTTCGTCACGCTCCAGTATCAAATACTAAAACAACTAATATTTAAGGGTAATACGATTTTTGCTCAATATCAATCGTGTCAACAGTTGGGCACTTGACTCTTACTAAAAATAAATGACAATATGCGTGTACGGAACCCACTCTGCGCACATTTGGCTTCGAAAGTTTTTTTGGATTTATTTTAAATACTTTGTTTACAATATGTAAGTCACATATTGTGTCCGAGTTATTGCTATTTTGTAAAGGCTACCAAAACGTTCGCATGAGGTACGAAAATAATCACACCAATAGGTTTTGTTTGATCGGTAAAACATTTAACGTCAGATATCTATTTAAATGTCTGGATTGCAAAGATAACAAGAAAGCTGTTACGTTTATAATATAAATAAATACTTAGATAAGATGCTTTCGGAGTTGCAAAGTAAGCTAGATTTGTTAAGCCGATATGTCTGTGCCAAATCTACTTGTACAGGTCACACCACATCTGATTTTTGATACCTTAGACAAAAAAATAAGGTTGCGAACAAAAACGTTACCTTAAGACTAATTAGTGAATTGAAAAATATTTAAACCAGTATTTTTTCAATAACGCTATGGAAAATACTAACCTTATAATATTGTCATATGCAGTAGAATGTATAAAGCTTACATTATTATTTTATGTATTATATAATGTTGAAAACCAAATGTAACAATGCCCTTCTGAGATTAAAAACATTAAGATGAGATTAGCAAGTTAAGCTGCTGTGTTTGCTTAGATTTCAATCCTAGATACGTACATACATTTTAGTGATTTAAGTAAAATCTTTTTCAAAGACATTATGAAAACCACTTTTTTGTTTCACCAAGTCTCTTAACGTCATACAAATAGAAGTGACGCACATTTCTGTGTTAGTTCCACTAATAATTTGAGAGACCCGAACCCAAGCCTGTCTTCCTTAACCCTCATTGTCAAGCAAAGCGAGCCCTAGACGGACAAAGATTATTTTCATAAATATAATTTCAAAATATATACTTGTAGACTACAACTTTGAACAGTGCGCAGATCAAGTGCTACAAAGTTCGTTATACAGTGATCTATAAAACGAAATTCGTTACTTAGCTGGAACGTTCAAAGTTATGTTATAAATCTACGTACATTTATAAATATTTTTTGGGAAAAGTGTGTGAGATTATATTTTTTAAATTTAAAAAAAAATATTTTTTAAAAATATTTTTTTGGGGAAAAAAAATTTGGAAGGGGGGGGGGGTTTTGGTTTTCAAACGTACTTAGCTGGAACGTTCAAAGTTATGTTATAAATCTACGTCCATTTATAAATATTTTTTTGGGAAAAGTGTGTACGATTACATATTCTAACTATTAAAATGTGCTAGTCTTCAGCGTCATTGTTTTAAGTTTCAAGTTTGTAAACACTTCGAAAGACGACAAATTCTTTTTGGTGCTTTGTACAGATTAGCTTTAGTTTTGACCCAAACGGGCTTTTTGTAATTGGTTCGTAGCCACCTCGTAGTTTTAAGAATCGTGCACTCCATTAAGCCCTTCCCAGCTTGAGCCCTGTCACGATGAGTCAGCAAACAGCGGTGCAGTGTCATGGGCCCAATCGGACGGTAGCTGCGTGACAAGGCGGCGGCTGGCGCCTTTGATCTGATAGGGCTGACAAATTTCATAAAAAAAGGAAATGATAATGTCTTGACATGACTCACTTACGCACAGGCACCAAAGCCTCAATATATATAATAGATAAATACGGAACAAGAAGAAAAAGCTTCTGACTTTGTGTTCAGTGATAAAGATGCTAAGTACCTCGCCGTCAAGTTTAATTTTCGTTTCGGTTTCAGTCTGTAGATTTCCGAACATCCAAATCCAAAATGGGTCGTACTTGCTTTAAGAAATATCTCAATCTTTGTATTGTGGACAATTCGTCGACACAATTAAAAATCACATGAAGACACCAATTATAAAATCTTAGTAGGTACCTACTTTAGTTCGTTGATAAGAGTGGTTAAAATAACGCAAAGAATTATGAATGAAACTAGTAAGATTGTAAAAACTGAAATGGACTCATTTTATAAAGCCGAAAACATAATTATTTACATTTATTTTTACGAGAGGTCTCAATTTAAAAGTCAAATTATTTATGAAAAGTAGAATTTTATGTGATGCATAGTTAAATTAAATCAAGACAATCGGCGTCTGCTAATGATCTCAAGTTTCTGCTAGATTGCTCGGTTCAGTATCAATGTCACGTTATTTCTGTCCAATCAAGCGACAGTAGCTACGTGACACGTCCAGTCAGGCGGCCTCTTTGATCTACTAGGGCTGCCTAACATAGGTTGATATCATTTTTAAATCGTAAATATTCATTCTATTTATTCTTCGTTCGTATCGTTACGGGTTTATAATCGATTTTTAATTTTCACGGGTAAGTAATACGAAATCAGAACTTCTTAATACGTAATTTTTAAAGTATGCATTGTAAATTTCACACTACAAAGACAGTAATAGTAAAGTATATGATATAACAAGTGTTATTAAAACTTTATATAATTTACTTCGAGATAATTACTCCCGTCTGCTTCACCGAGCCGAGCGTCAGCCGCAGTGTTTTAAGTAATTAATATTTCCAGTACCTGGCAGCCCTAGGTAACGGCAGGTCGTTGATTAATGTCGGCAAGCATAACTGGCGTGAAACGAGCCCGAGCGTTGTACGCCAGCGCCGCCTGTACCACCGACACTACAAATATTTTCATTTAAATTCTCTCTTTATGTTCACAGGTGGTAACTATTTCGAAAGCCATTAACATTGAAGTGTTACGTCACGTTAGAAAGCTAAGCCGTATGCCGTATGCAGGACAATAGTATCGCCCTTATTGGCTTGTCTCAGTAGTAAATACCTACCTATGTGAACGCCAGCTCACATAGGCTGTCTGGTCAAGATTTAACCCGAAGTCCACTACTTAAGCTTCTAACTGACAGTCGTTTCGCTTCACGGACTCACAATTATAGGTTTACCTATACAACAATACTGTGCGTAGATTATGAAATGAGAATTAGCATAAGTAGCATCCTTTTTTATCATGAAGTGTTAAAACTTTTTTAACCTTTTCATCGTATTTTTACGATTACAATAAACCGTCTAAAACAACGAATTTCAACAAAGGGACCAATCCTAATCTTCATTGTAATATCTTTAACAAAAGAGCTATACAATATAATAATTAGGATAATTTCTTTTGTGCTTTAGAGGGTTTTAAAAATAGCGATGACTCGTTACTTTTTACCCATGTAAACAGTGAGTGTTTAGTTTTACCCCTCACGGTGGTCTGAACCCCACCGATCCGTCGAGAATCCTCACTAAAAGTACCTGTGTGGATTTAAGAAGTTCCCAACAAGTTTCGTGTCTCAGAATTACATGTCCACTGCTCGTTTTCTGTGTGATTATTTGAACTACACAACACTACCTATCCCAAGAAACGTCCGACGACTCAAGTGAGCGTTCACTTGACTAACTTATCGCGCATTTATCCGCAAGCATTCAATTTCCCGCGCGATGCATCTCCGTCGTCGAATCGCCTTTGACCGCGCATATTTCGTATTATAATCCCTTCATCAAAACGGAAAGCGTCCCAGTAATTGTTCGCGCGCGAGCGAGACGTAACAAACGGGGTGTCGAGCGCGGTGGGGATAAGACGCAAAGCTCCCGCAAAGTACTTACACAGAACGCAAAAATGGCGAGGTGACGAGTGACAACGTGTCAGGGCGGGGGGCGCTCGCCGGCTCAGTCTGCCGTCACTGTCCGAGCGGACAGCACGCTTGCGCCACCGCGGATGTGTTGTGATGTGCTTTTGGATCGTGAAGTGTCTTTAAGTGATTCTAAACTGGAGAAGGATAATTTACTGTGGAGCAACATGCTCACTTCTAGCAACCAGTATCTGCGACCCGATTACTTGTCGCCGCTACCGACCACGGTTAGTTGATCGCTTTTATTATATTTTTTTCAATTTGACACTTTTTCTTATAAGAATAAGTTTAAAGGCCCAGGATATGTTGCATAAGAGGAACGAGAATATTATGAGGAATAATCTATTCATTTTATCGTTAATTTGAATACAAATGTTACATATGATTAAATCATATATTAAACCGATGACAATCATTCGAGATTTTTGTTTCAAAATAACTCTTAGAGAATGCTAGTTCATAAAATAGTTACTTTTCTAAAGTTTTAGTTTAAGGCTTGCTAAAATATTCTCCCGAACAACAAGGTTTTAATTGCAAAAATAATCTATATCTATTACATTCATCATATTATTCCCAAAGGTGTATAAAATGCGATTAAGTAATTAACGATGTAATTAAAACGTCTCAAGGTAACTAAAATTGTTAATTAAGTATGAATAAATGCAAATGACCAAGATTTATCGCGCTCGTAAATGTTTATTGCTAACAGTATTATTTTATTGTTTTTTTAATGCCCTGTTATCTCTATATCACAACATTAATATTCAGAATGGAGTATAATAATTGAATAATGAATAACAATAATGGGCTTTGTACGGTATTTTTACAAAAAAAAACATGTCTCGGGCCGAACGGTCAATTTGAAATGATTAATTACACTTAGCAGCGGCTAAACTTATAACAACACAGAACATTAAACACATTAATCAAGGTTTATCGTTGCAAGCGGTAGCTGAATAAATAAAAGAAAAATATTGAAATAAAAACGTACTTAAGTACTACTTGTTTATAAAAATAATTTAGCTTACTCTTAGTCTATTCAGGTCGTAGAAAATAATTATAATGATGAGTGAATTTATTTTTAAGAAATTAGATACGATCTTAAAGCACGTCGAATGAATTCGATTTTTCATTTTGTACCTGAGGAAAAAACATTATGTTTTTCTTTATTTCCTCCAAATAAATGAAATTTTATAATGAAGATGAAAATAATAAGGCACCCAAAAACAATTCAATTCGTTGTACACTAGTAGTGCAAATTAGAAGTCTAATAAGAAGTACAAATGAAATGGTCATTAAATAAACGAATCTCAAAATGCTCCCAAATGAAAATGTTATCGTTCAACGTAAACGCTCATATAAACTTGGAAATGTAAAACAATATTGCGACGAAATTCCCTCTCGAGCTAACGCTTTGCCGTGATAATAGACGTGACAGCTCGGCAAGTTCGGGCGTGCCGCAAATTCAGCGGCACAAATTGGCCTTTTCACTGCGAGATTACATCATGCGGGAACCGAGTGAAATGTCAAGCGGGGCCGACGGCTGCCAGACGCGCGGATAATGGCGCGTCGACCGCGCGATTGGACACCCTCTCCCTCCGCCCCCGGCGCCCCACTCTCTTTGTGCTGTCACTCGCAAACCGCTATTTCATTCCATCGCTTCTTTGTTGCAGCTCGACGCGAAAAAGAGCCCGCTGGCACTCCTCGCGCAGACCTGCAGCGCCATCGGCGCCGACTCGCCCAATCCGAAACTCGTCTCGGCGGCCGAGAAGGCGAGCAAGAAGTACGACGAGAAGTCGGTGCACGTGGACAACAAGCCCAGCTTCAAGCCTTACGAATCGTGTCTGACGAGAGAAAAGACTCGGACTCCGGAAGACAGAGCTTCGGCCAACGCTCAGTCGAAGACTCCGTCGTCCAAGGGAAGCGCGTCCACCACCCCGGTGCAGGCGCGCTGCGGCAGCAATCAGAGCTCATCTTCTCTCAGAACCTCGCCGCCGTCGCACCGTAAAACGCCCTCCGAGAAATCCGAAGAGAGGTCGAGCCCGATGTCATCACCGGCTCAAGTCAAATCTAATTCTGACCCGACGAACTCATCATCCAAGTTACCATATTCGAGCAGTCTGACGTCTAGTACTGATACCAAAGAGCATACCAGTTTCAAACCGAGCGTCCCCGTGACGTCGTCGGCGTTCCTGGGAGGTTTGCCGCCCTCCGGATTTCCCTTACCGATGGATCTCATGACCAGCAGCCTCATGGCTGCGCAGCACCACGCGTTAAAAAATGGACTCAACCCTTATTTAGCGTACGCTAGAATGAAAGCGCCCGGAAGCGATCTAGGTATCTGCAGAGACCCCTACTGCACGGGCTGCTCGTTAAGTTCTCATTTGCTCAAATCCGCCGCTTGCCCGGCCGGCTGCTCTCAATGTGATCACGCGAAGACGCCGTTCTCGCTGCCATCCGGTCATCCGGCGGCCGCCGCGTATGCCCACGCACAGCTCGCAGCGTTGGCGGCCGCTTCACAGCTTCCGTTCGTGTGCAGTTGGATGGCGGGCGACACGGCTTACTGTGGGAAGAGGTTCGCAACGTCGGAGGAATTATTACAGCACCTTAGGTCGCACACGGCGAGCGGAGAATCGAATCCTAGTCTCTCTATGCTGAGCGCGACGCATCCTCTCCTGCAGAGGACGTACCCTACTCCCCCGCTGTCGCCTTTGACGCCTCGCTTTCACCCGTACAGCAAACCGTCGCATCTCGTTTCTTCACCGCCGTTGCCTTTCCCGCTGCCGCCGCACCCTTCGCTCGCGGCGTACTTCCCGTCGTACCCCTTATTCGGTCCGAGACCTCTGCATCCTTGAGGACCGTCGGCGCTCCACGCAAATAAAAAGGGGGGCGCCGATCACTAACGCCCATGCCAAGAGGACTCTCGCGGGTCGAGGACAGTGTAAATATACGGATAGTGTTCTCTCAGTCCCGGTTCGGTCGCGTCGGCGACGGACATCGCCCGGTGGGGCGCGACAGCTGTGATCTCTTAACTTAATTCGTGATGTTAACGTGCACTGAGGACTCGCTTCGGCTACGAGCGCGGACCTTCTTTTATAGCTAGATTAACGAAATTTTTATGTACCAAATCTATAGTGTGTAACGAGAATAGTTCTTAATTTAATTCGTTATGTATAATTTGCGACGATTGTTAAATGTGTTTGTATTTTTACGACCCACTCTATTCGGCTAGCCATTAAAACTTACATATCTTTGCGACTAATTAAGAAGGCGTTTGCAAATGACATCGATACATACGAGACATTAGATAGCGGTTTTTAAATCTGTCCGATAAAATACAATCTCGCCTCGATACACGGTTAAATTGAAAATTTACATTTTAATGTTGTTTAAAGTGGCACTATTTTTATGCTCAAAAATATTTCGGCAAAGTCATACATATGAATGAAGCAAAAACAGTAACGAGCACTAGATTGTTTAAGTGATAATGTAAGCATCGGTATCTGTTGACGTAAAATTTGTTGTTATAAAGGTCATAAAATGGAAAAATATACGTAAATATTTAATTTCGAATGAACGTCTTTTATTTCGTCCATAAAATCTCGCTCGTAAAATGAGCGACTCGTTTTATTGGAAGTCGTATTACGGGCAATTCAATTTAAACAAGGGAACATTTTTGGCAGCTACTGCCTTCCACCGGCCCTAAGTTACAAGATGGTGGTGACAATTATTTTTATTTACACAAAATGTACTTTTGGCTCATTTACAGAAATCTTTTTAAAGAGAAAGCACAACTACGACAAAAGGAGCAAAAATTTGGCAATGGAACTTTCGAAATAAGAAATTCTTTTTATTATCTAAAAAGTAAGGAAAGATAACCCTAATTACAGCCTTAGCTAACATTGTTCGCAATGAGGTATCGCCCATGATCCTACGAAAGAACGGATAATTCTACCGCTTCACAAGATAATAACAACAAATCATTTTTCTGGTATGACTCAACGTCCGTTCTCCGTAATTAGGAGGCGTGCAACGATAAATTATAAGCAATTTATCTGTCTGTCTGTCGCCATACATTCGCCACCGTTGAAATATTATGACCGATGCTAGATATGATGACGCCTTAATGCCCTTCTCTGTTCTTGCATTTGACACGAGCTTACTTCAATGAAATCTATTACAGCCTACCGTTATCGTAACTTTTTATACTTAGTGTAAATAAATAATTCGTAGTTTTATTCGAAAAATAATACATATATTTGGATAGCCTTTCTTACTTTCTTTTTTTTTACCGAAATAGGTTTTTATCTTTTGACGATTTTCAGCCACGCGCACACGATCATTTACCTTTTACTAGAGAAGTAAGTACAGAGTAAGTAAAAGATCCAATTAAAAATCGCAATTTACATAAAACTAATGAGATAATTAAATTAAAGCTATTCACAACAAGGTCTGCGAATTGTCTAATTTCTCTGTTACGAAATGCCGAATGAAATAATATAAAATTATTTCATATATCATTAGTGAAATCGTGTGATGTCTAGTAACTGTAACTAATATTCATATAAAGAGATTAAGATCTTCATTACAATGATATTATAGTCGAAACTTGAATTAAATGTTTACATAATTTATCTTTATATGCGAAAGCATTAAGATTATATTTCGAAACATTCAGTCACTAACGAACATTAAATTAATTGAGGCCATTCATACGAATTTTATAAGTTAATTATTGTCTACATCAGACTTAGTCTTACTTTGTATTTTGTGACGTTCATAGGTTTAATAAAGATTAACTTCGTTGGTTTTAATTTTTTTGTTAACACGTCTTTGTTTTAATAGATATATATGTATAACTTACTACTGAATATATTAGAGAAGGTTAAATATTAAAAGGCATAAAACAGTATAAAACTGACAAAACCGTTCATCTAAGACAAACATTATAAAGCATTTCAATATTCTAAACGAAGGCATGAATATATGTACATATACAATAGTCGTACATATTTGGAAATAAACTGTTCGGCTTCTGTTTTTCTTCGAGACAGCAGTGACGTGACAAATGACAAGTCACGTGACACGAAACATGCCGTGACTTTGATCCTGCCGACGTGTTTCTATTTTTTCTGACGCCCTAATTGACTTAGGTGTGCTGGTGATGTCGGTAAATAACATAGACTTTATCTGCTCGATTTATTTTTGGAGACAAGTCAATGTTGCTTTAATACTTTTTATGCCATTCGAGCCGGGATTTGAATGTTGGTATAAATTGGACGAATTTAATGTAAAGGAATCTTGAACCACTGTAGAAATCTCGTAAGTTTGACCGGAACCTTTACCAGGGTAGCTCAAGCTCGCCAGCTTTTTTTAAATTGTGATAGTTTTTAGTTTAAGAACCTAATATGTTGTAAACATTAAATTACGGCAACTATTTTAAACCTAAGTACCTTTCGATTGTGACGTGCTCCTCTTTTATTACGTGTTTTCATTTCCGGTTTCTTGGAAGAAATAGCTATTTAGCTATAGAGCCTCGTTTATCCTTAATCGATTCAATAAATCTATTTTATATAGTGTTTTGTTCTGGTACTTGTTTTGTGGCAATAAAGAATATGACACAAGCATTATGAAAGACTTTTCAACTTTATTTTGTGAGAAATATACTTGAATTATGTTCAACTATAAACGATTGTTTGTCACAATTCTGGAGTCGAGGTGATAAAACAAAGTTTAAATGCAAAAATCAATGATCGTTCTGGTGAGTGATTGTGTGGGCAGCGCGAGTGGCGAGCGTGGTTGAGCATCGAGCATTCATTAACTACTCGTTACCGCACGACAAATCATTACGCGGTCAACGGAACAAAGGTGCACAGTGGAAACGCACTCTGCTCTTTCATGATGATCGAGTGACTTCGATCACGTTTTTCAATATTGGTTTTTAGAACGTAAGGTACGAAACATCTAATTGGGATGCGCTGTCGTTCTATGTAAAACTGATTTTTGATATTTTAACGTAGAAAAATAGTCTCAAATGTAAGTGAAAGTCTGTTTTTTAATAACCTAGTAGGTGCCTCCTTCTACTCGCACTCGCTCCCACTTGACCCGTGTGACGTACCTAGTATAAAATTCTGTTTAGTAATAGTATAGGACGGTGAAGTCGGTACAATTTGGCGCAGCGCACTGAGGCAACGGGCAGATAAGCATCGTACAGTCGAGTGGAAGAGTGATTAACGTGACTCCTCGCTTTGAACCGCCGTCCGCGCCGTCCACGCCGTGTCGGCTCGCATTAGACCCGCTTTGTTTGTTTTTTGTACGCGATGCTACTTAATAATTTGGAACTTCGGGCTGTCATAACTGTTTAGGACCATTGAATTTTAGGATAGGCTTGTCTCGTATGCATCAAGGCATATTTTAGAAAGTTAAAATATGTTAAAACAAAGTAGTTTACGCGACCAAAACATTTAAATATCATACCAATAATTTTTAACGGTGCTAAACGCTAAATTTATTAGTTAACTTATTCTTAAAAATGCACTAATATATATTTTGCGTTTTAAACCATTAATAGTGTTTTATTGAAATTATACTACTCGCGTAAACTACGGACGATAGTTAGACTTTTGTGCCCTGTTTGACCAACGTGGGAATTGATTTCATTTACTCGACTGAGCCGCGGAGACGGCGGACATACAATATCCACAATATTATAGTGATCAAAACCACTCTTGCTCCACTACTCGAGATAAAGTTAATAATTATAAGTTAGTTACGTTATTATCTTCCCTTATCGCACATTTTATCTTAACTATCGAAGTGAATGAGACAGGGCACTTTCCATAAAGTGGCGTAATATACAACGTTTGTTGTCGCTACTTTGTATCCCTTTTTAACAAATAAGTAATAGAATGAAGCAATAATATCAAAAAACATGTTACATACATAAACGTATATTATATATATATATATCTTAATTCACAAAAATTATACCTGTAGTGAGTTTGTCGTGTTTAAAAACGCCAGAATTCTGAACATTTGAGAGTTCATACACTAATGGCATCTTAGGCGAGCGAATTCCTGAGATTTCATATAAACACAGTGTGATGTGGATCCATTAAATGAAGACAGACATTAATTCGGACAGACAGGCTGACAAACACGCCGCGAATGGACGTTCTTGTTTTGATGTGATCGTATACAAGTTAAATCAATAACGTTTTAATGAAAGCAAAGTGCTTCGAATCTTCGAAATTCCAGTGAGAATAATGCATTTGAGTCGAGAACGTTTCCACTTCTCATCTATAAGAGATTTTTTTGCTCTGGAGTGCAGTAATTATAAATATTTGGGAAAGATGGTGTTGTGACTAGATAAAGACAAGGTGCAGTTACAACTACTTTATTACTTCATGTAGCTACCTTACATGTATTATACTAAAAGCTTGACTACCTACTAACAATACAACAGATGGAAATAAAAAATACTAATGAATTAACTTAACATTTTTTTGATCTTCCGTTTCCCAGACCTCACTTTATCAGCAGAAGTCGGAACAAAATGTTACAAAGCAGTCGTTATACAGGTTGATGCAGGAAAGAGGAAGTGCCATAAACCTGCCTCCTCGCGCTCAGATAAGGGGCACCTTTATAATATTGTAATTTTACTAGAAGACTGCTTTTCATTGAAAATTTAATTATTTACAATAAATTACATTTACAATGAAGTTATAATGTTTTTCTTTCAAACTTTTAAAAGATGTAGACGTTATACAACGCAACGATAAGTATTACTTAGAACTTCAAAGATTAAAAAGATGTATTATGATAGATGAATTTAAATATTGAATTATGTTCTAAG